TGTTCCCTGTGCCCTGGGCTCTGACTTCTGCACGAGCAGGGCCTGCTCCCACCTGCTCTGAGCTGGGGCTGGCGTGGGGGGTGGATTGCAGGGACATTCTGGGAACAGCTAGTTGGTAGCACGATGCCGCAAATGTCTGCCTCATTTTACTTGCTGCACATCTTAATTTCTGTGAAATTGTGACGACTGGCTATTCTTATTTGAGATTTACAGTTAACTTTGGTCTAGTCCCTTGACCTTTGTATTTGTATGCCTTGGTCTTCTCACATATGAAATTGGAATAATAATTATATTTACCTCCTTGTAAAGATTAATGGCTCAGCACCTGTAGCTCAGCAGTTAGGGCGCCAGCCGCATACACTGGGGCTGGAGGGTTTGAACCTGGCCTGGGCCTGCCAAACAACAATGACAACTACGACAGAAAAATAGCCAGGCATTGTGGCAGGCGCCTGTAGTCCCAGCTACTCAGAAGGCTGAGGCAAGAGAATCACCTAAGCCTAGGAGCTGGAGGTTACTGTGAGCTGTGTGACACTGCCACGGCATTCTACCAAGGGTGATAAAGTGAGATCCTGTCTCTAAAAAAATTTTAAAAAAAAAGTAAATACAGCTAAACTAGGCATGGTAGCTCATGCCTGTATCCCAGCTACTCAGGATGTTGAAGGAAAACAAGGCCCGATAGAGAGAAGTGATCATCCAAACACCTGTGTCTGAGACAGGACGAGCTTTATTTCAGCCGGCATAGCCACATGGACTAGAGTCCAAATGGCCGAGCTCCTCGGCCTGCTTCCCCCTGTCCTTTTATAGGGTTTACAGAAAGGCAGACAAAGGGATTGGCATGTAGTCCCCCATTGGAGGTTTCAAAGCATGTGCAGGATTTACAGCAAAGTTTCAGGAAGTTAATCTTTTACAAAGAAGCTGAAGCTGTGAAGAGAGGGCTGAGTCATTGTGAGCAACCCTTGTGGAGGTATCAGCAAAACACAGAACTTCTGGCATTTCAGGTTAAGATGTGATACTTCAGGATTTCCTCCCATAGGGAGGCTGAGGCAGGAGGATTATTTGAGGGCAAGAATTTGAGATCAGCCTGGGCAATAACAAGACCCCTGTCTTTACAAAAAGTTGGAGAAAAAATTAGAATGCTTGTGTAGTCCCAGCCACTCGAGAGGCTGAGGTGGGAGAATTGGTTGAGCCCTGAAGTTCAAGGCTGCTGTGAGCTGTGACTGCCCCACTGTGCTCCAGCCTGGATGACAGTGAGACTCTGTCTCAGAAACTCAGATGTTGCTAAGTATTTGTTACACTTTCAACTGCTTAATATACATTTATCTACATAATGCAAACTACAGTTATCTGTTTATTACATGGAAGAAAATATTTCATCGTTTATTACTTTTTAATCTGCTAACTTGTCAGCACCAATTTGAAACATTAGTTCCACAAGTAGTCTAAATTTAATACCCTGCTGATGTACCAAGTACAAAGATTTTGTATAATTTAAGTGAAGAAATTACATATCATCAAGTAAAGTATAGATGTACTGCATATATACATACACAGATTTTTGTTTGACCTGTAATTCACTCTATGAAATTGAAATTTATTTGTATTTTCTAAACTCTTAAAGATACTTATAGGAAATGCTCATGTTTATATTTTATGAGCACTTATTTTTTGACATGTATATAGTTTGTTTCTCAAAGTAGTATTTTAAATGAGCCAACTAAATCCTAACACAGTGTTGTAAAATCTGTCTTGTAAATAAAGAAAAGGTAGCTAATTTAGTTGACAGTATATGATCAGCTTTCATTAGTTTTCCAATGTTGATGACCAGTGTTTTAAAATAATGCTAAGATTCACTGTCATGAAGCATATCCAAGAAGAATTATCTGATCACTGTCCACGAACAGTACAATTGATTCCATAGTAGCATTAATCCTTGTCTTTTTTTATAAAACAAACTTTTTTGATAAAATGTGTAGAAAGCTTCAAAACCATAAAATGCTTTAAAATGTAAAGAAACGCTTGTATAAATAACAAAATAATAAATAATCTACCCACTTCAGTCTCGCAGAGTACTGGGATTATAGACATGGGCCACTACACAGTGACAGTAAAAAAAAAAAAAAAAAAAAAAATCTAGCTTTGCTTAGATCTAAGCTAATAAATATATTTTTCAAAATAAAATGTTTCCTCGTCTATTCATGTGATAGTTGCATAGCTGTTAATCTCTGACCCTTGATTGTACCTTCCAGCAATTTTGCCTGCTCAAGAATGGAGACCTCCTCTTCCTGCTTATGATTTTCTAAACATGATGGATGCTGCATCTCAACATCCCACCAGGAAAGTTCCCGAGTGTACAAAAGAAATAGAAGTTCAGGAGAATGATAAGGAACAACATGAAGATAGATCAGCAACCAGAAAAGAACCAGCTGAGACACTGAGAATAAAGCACTGGAATCGAAACAATTGGTTTAAAGCAGCCAAAAAGTCACTGAGGCATGATAAAGAGTTGTGACCTTCACAAGGAAGCTGGCTCTCCAGGGCTGTGCTTTCCAAGGTCTTTTTGGCTTGATGGACTTAGGAATTTATTTCATTAAAGAATAATAAATCATTTCAAGTTTCTAGACCAATGCTATCCAGTAGAATTCTAAGGCAAGTGACATATGTCATTTCAAATTCTCTAGTTGCTACATGAAACAAAGTAAAAATGGGCAGGCGAAGGTAATTTTAATGTCATATGTCACCCAGTAAGTATGCCCCAAATTGCTGAGATCTTTTGCATTCTTTTTTTACACCAACTCTTCAAAATGCAGCACCCTTCACATGGGCTGCCCTCCTCATGCTGGATGGCCAGCTCTCAGGTGCTCAGCACCACTGTGACCTGTGACCTGTGACTACTACACTGGACAGCTCAGTAGTAGACAGAAACTTACCTAACTTACTTAGTTCTAACCATGATATGTATTTTGATTAAAATAAAAATGTACCTCTAGTTTAATCACAGGGACTCCTCAGTGGAGTTACACAACTGGCAGTTACATTTGTTTATTGTAGCCATTATGTTAAAGCCAGTGTCCTCAAATGCAGCGATTCCCCCCGCCCCTGGGGATACCGGCAATGTCAGGAGACACTTTATATATTAGGACTAACGGGACCACTGGCATCTGAGAAGTAGAGGACAGGGACATGGCTAAGTACCACACCCTGGGCAACCCCCTACAACAGAAAGCCCTCCTGACCAAAGCATCAGCAGGGCCAAAGTCAAGTGACCCTGGGTCAAACCAACCTGTGGCAGATTGAGCTTCCTGGATTCTCTGGTTCTGCTCAATTATACCCTTATCTTTTCTAACAAATAAGTTTCAATAAATTTTTCAAAAAGTGATGAGATAACCCGAGGACTCAAAAGGATGTATGTGTATATATATAGAGAGAGAGAAGTATATATATATATATATATATATAGTGTATATATATATGTATATTAAAACTTGCCCTATTTCCATACATTATGTGGCTAAATTTCAGACTGAACAGGAATTCAACATTCTTCCGTCTTCTCACAAGAAGAGGGGCTCCTTCTAAAACTGTCTAAAACCCACCCTTGTAATCTTTAAACAAATAGAAGTGCTGTCCCTGGACCGTTGTGACTCAGCTATTAATGGGAGGCCAAGATTAACCTCCAAGCTAATGTTTTCACTCGAAATCGCTTGTTGGATGGATGTGTTTGTAGCGGTTGTTTGCCTCACTTCTGTTCTGTGCAGGATTTGAGATGTTTGTGGGATAACCTGTTGGTGCTCTGCCCTGTTCCTCCGTGTAACGCACACTCATAATAATATCCTTTAAATGTTCTCCATGTCCTGTTTGCCTCGTACAGCTGAGTTTCTTAACCGGAATCAAAAACACCACAAGCAGCTAGGTTTCAGTGAAGTTGTGCATCTTGTTAAAACATAGACCATTTGCTGCTGCTGGCAGTACCCACTCAGTTTTTTCCTGTGGTATGTTGTGCCTTAATTCAGTTCATCCTCATTTGCTTTATTTCTAACATGGGAGACAGGAGAGCGGACTCTAGTTTGTAGTAATAAAACATCAGCCTAATTGTTAGAAAACACTAACTACAAATACATAAAAACATGAAATCGATTAGTCATTGTGCTATAGCCAGCAATTTTGAAAGTCATTAGTACATATTTTTGATAATTTTAAATGAAGTGGATTTCAGGCTACCTTCCAAAGCTTTCTCTGGTCTCCATCATGCCTTCTGTTGGACCAGCCACCCTGCACATCACCTGGGTTTCTTTGGTTGCCAGCAACAGAAATTCAACCATGGCTGACTTAAGCAAAATGGAACTACTGGGTAATTCACAGAGTCAGAAGAAAAATTAAACTAATATTTGAAAACATAGGAACTAAGGCTGTTCTGGGGCCTGTGTAGCAGAAATCAGCAGCTCAATGCTCAATCAATCCCAACTATTTTCCTATCTATTTTGACTCAGAGTCCTGGGCCCAGAGGCTGGTTTGAGGAAGACGAGGCACTTTCATTGGCCATCCTAATAGTACTTGCAGTTGCAGAAGACATAAACCTCACAAAAGAAGTCTCTGTTTACCAGAAAGAATTGGGAGAGGGAAAAACAGCAGCAGTGAAATTAAAACCCACAGTCAGCAGGACACTACTTGCTGTTCCATCCGTCCTCCGTGTCCTCCAGGTCTTTCTGTCACATCTTACCCGTTTCCAAGAGCCCCCAAGTCCTCTCTCTACCTTACTTGGTTACAGTTCTGCAGTACGTTGTCCTGGTCCTCTCGTGGAGGTGGGGGCCGGTGCACATCACGTTCTGCATATCGTCTCATCAGTCAGACTCTGTCACCGCTCTCCTTTCACCTGTGTTGACGACTTAAAAAAAAACAAAACTTGGTCCTTTTCTTCCAGTCCTTGTGATGAAATATTCATGGACTCTTTCAAAATTCCTGGAGTTAAAAGTAAAATGATAGAAAAAAGATAGACCCTGCCATTTTTAAGAGAAAGCTGGTCAGATAAGATAGCCTTCAAGTCAGATGGAATAGGTGTTAAGTCAAAAGCATTCTTAGAAACAGTCACTCCATAATGAGGATGGTCAGTTCACCAGTAAGTTCTAATGGTTGTAAATTTGTGGTCCTCTAATAACACAGGATTAAATAATGTGAAGCAAAAATTAATAGAAGTACACAAATTCATCATCATACTGGATTTTTTTTTTTTTGGAGACAGAGTCTCAAGCTGTCGCCTTGGGTAAAGTGCTGAGGCATCACAGCTCACAGCAACCTCAAATGCTTAGGCTTAAACGATTCTCTTGCCTCAGCCTCCCAAGTAGCTGGGACTACAAGCGCCCGCCACAACACCCTATTTATAGTTTTTGTTGTTGTTCTTGCAGTTGTTTTCGCTGGCCCGGGGTGGGTTCAAACCTACCAGCCTCGGTGTACGTGGCCGGCACCCTATCCACTGAGGTACAGGTGCCGCCCTATATTGGATTTGTAAATACCTCAGTGAACAATAGAGCCAGCAGAAAACAAGTGAGGGAAGTTATCAAAGATTTAAGCAATTTTATTAGTAAACTTGCCTAACTCCTAATGACTGCAGAATACCAAACACCCATTATTTTCAAACACACACAGAACATTTATAAAAATTGTTATATGCTGGGTTATAATGCTAGTTTTGGTAATTGTTAAAGGATTGAAATACAGCATGTTCTCCGAACATAGTGCAATTAACCTAGAAACCAACAACAAAATGATCCCTACAGACTTGGAGTTAAGGAGCTGGATATGCAGGCCTGAGCCTGGGATAAAATTCTGGGCATCATGTAGCTTATTCGTGGCAAAAATTGGAATTGAACCCTAGTCTCCTTCATGTCCCTTTAGTGGGATAATACCATATATAATACCGTGTACAGCATTTCCTGTTCATAACATTTCTGCACTGAAAATTCATAATTCTCAAAAATAATACAAAAACGGCCTGTTACTGGATTGTTGAGTAAGCAGACAATTCAACCATCCCTCCTACTTAGAGTTGATTAATATTGTAACACTTGAGGGTCGTAGTTGTAATTTCACATTCTCTTAAACCTTTTTTCTTTTACTAAGATACGTTCATGGAAGCCTATCCAAGATTTAGTTTGGATAACCCAGGGTCAAGTCCTTACATGGGCCTCAAGAGCTATTAAAAAAAAAAAAAAAAGCAGAATCTGGCGTCTTGTGAAATACTCCAGACAGCGCCCCTGACTTGTAGTGGGCAGTATTTCACGTCAGCCTTTTAATCAAATAAAGCTCTCATTTCCTCTGACATTAAATGCAATCTGGACTTTCCGTTCCTCATGTGGATATTTTATATCGTTACGAAGGGTATTTTTGAAGAATTAATTTTTCTCACATTTAAACTTATTTCCTTCTTAGAGATATTACCTACACAGCTACCCAGTTCTTCGTGTCCTGAAACCCTCTCTGAAGCTCTGGTGTAGGGTGGTGAGAGTGACTGATACATTTAATCACATTCCCAAAGTTACCAGGGTATGTATGACTCAAAGGGCACACCAGCCCTACGTGGTCTTGACAAGTGTGAACAGCAGGTATTATAAATCCCTATTTATGAGAAGGTAGGATTTTTCTTGTTCCTAAAGATAGTGAGGGGAAAGCTATCAGAAGACAATGTCCTTAAAAATAGTCTAACAAAAGTGGTATTCTAAGTTACAAGTTGGTTAAGCAGAATTGGGAATCCCTGAGTATCCATAATACCTGGAGGATGTACCCAGTATAGCACGCTGCTTAGAGAAAGAAGGGGGGCATTGCATTTGGACTGGAGAACTTTTGAGCCCTAACTCTCCTCGACATTACCTGTGTGGCATTGTAAAGTAAGTTACAATCATCCATCTTAGCACCTTTGTTGGTGAAAATAACTGCTCACATAGCGTTGAGGATTCACTGGGCGTATACACACAGTAAGCATTTGATGAATGCCATCTTAAAGACTGTCTGATTTACTAGAAATCTTTTCTTATTAACAAAGTGATACATTCTTGTAATAAAGATTTCAGAGTACAGAAATATGTACATACAAAAAAGCAGTAGCCAGCCTCACTTCCTTCCGACTTACAGAGTCAAGTGATAACGGCTGTCAACAACGCGGATCCTATTTGACCTTATAAATGTTTCACTTCCTAGTCTCAGGGTTCCAGATACCTATGTTAGTTAACCACTTCTTGGCTGTTTGGCTCAGATCAAGTGAAGATACCTGTTTTAGAACACATTTGTAAATTCCATTTACATTTTCTTTTCATAACGTAACATTAAAATTTTGTTCTTTGTGGTGTTAAAGATTTTATCCGTGTTTGGTGTTCACATTGAGGTCAAAAGGCAGAGGTTGTGTAAGAATCTGCCCCACTTGAGTATTAATGTAGTCCATAGCTGCTTTTTTGGACTGGGGTTTGCTCTTGAGACCTAAACTTTAAAAATTAACCCACTTTTACCTGGAGGGACCTTTGTTTGGCTGGAAACAATATCCCCTTGGCATTCCTGGGGTGCAGTGTCTAGATCTCACATGTGGTTACCGGTGTCTGGGGGCTACGACTGCAAGGTACA